ATTTTCATAAGGAATATTTAGTTTAAATCGTATTCTTTGAGAAATTTATTTTGTACTCTCTCTAGTATTGCCCTATGCACAGCATAATATGGTTGCCACACGGTACTTCCATACTCTAGGATGGATTGAACCAGAGAACAATAAACATCTCCTATTGTTAAAACAATATTGAAACCCGAGTTGAAACCCTTAACCCTAAACACAAACCCCAGGCACCTCATTGCTCTATTTGTTATTATATCTATATGTTTTCAAAAGGTTAACTCGCTGTCTAGCCAGATGCGAAGATACTTAACTGTTTTGTCTCTCCCACTCCAATGAATCAAGTGTATAATCGAAAACAATGGGGCCCCTAGATCTATTGAATGACATAACACTACATTTTTCAATGTTTAAAGTCAAATTATTCAATTCACACCAAGCAGAAAATCTATTTGAATCTTCCTGCAACAAAATACAATATTCAGTGGATTAAATTATCTTAAAAATTATCAAATCATCAGCAAATGCAAGAAACATACTAGATTTAAATACATGGTCAACATCATTTAATAAATAATTAAAAAGAAGTATAGGCAGGTGTCCACTCTGAGCAACACCAAAAATAACTACCACTTCTGGGGAGATATAATTGTTCATTTTGACAGATTGTTTTCTGCCTGTTAGATTACTCTGAAACCACCTAATTAAAATGCCGTGTAAACCAGCCACCGCCAACTTTTTTAAGAGAATGTTATGATCAACTTTATCGAAAGCCTTCGAGAAATTAGTATAAATTGCATCAACTTGATACCTATTCCCGAAAGCTTTCAACAGAGCCCGCTCATAAGTTATTTGTTATGGTGGATCTTCCCTTCATGAAACCATGTTGTCCATTGATAATGATTATGTGATTTTATCTGCAACAATACCTTCAAAAACTTTGGCTACCTTTGATATTGTGCGATAATTTTCAATATCTGATTTATCTCCATTTTTGAAGACTGGAGTAACATAGTATTTTTCCAGGCTGCTGAATATGTATCAGTAGACAATGGCAAATTAAAAATATCACACAAAATTTGAGACAGAACAAACCTGCAGCCTTCTAGGAAAACAACAGGCATGCTATCTGGCCCAACACCTAGAATATGCTTTAATTTGCAAACTCTGTCAAAAACATCAAATGGAGATAGCTTCAGCTGCCCAAGATCGACCATCCTATCCGATTCAAAAGTAGCCCCCGCAGAGTTGTCATATTCCGATTATACCGATGCAAAATGACCATTGAACATGTCAACTATATCCTGTGGATCATCACTGTTCCTTCCATTGAGATTCATGCACTGAGGATATTCAAAGTCTCCTTTTTTTGAATTTGCATATTTCCAGAAACTCTTTTTGTCTTTGAGCTAACTTTCATTGAGATGCATGCACTGTCATTCATGCACATGTCTTTAAAAGCTTTATATGGGCTTTCTTTTTTTCCGTAATTAAGTTCTTAACTCCGTTATTCATCCACTTAGGGAATTTTGGTGATTTATAACGAGCTGTAGATAATAAGTCAATTATGTCGAACAATGTCTTATAAAAACTTTCAACAGCAATATCTACATCGGTACACTCAGATATAAAACTCCAATCTACATAAAATAAATATATTTGCCTAAAGTCTGCTCTCCTTAAATTATAGTGAAAATAGTCGAAGGGTAAGCTGAAAATTATTATTAAGAGAGAAAATGCACTCTGATACTGGATGTGGAGCAACTCATTTTGATAATGGACTACTGGCATTAATCGTAACAGAGACATCTTTGTGGTTCGAGAAAAATAAATCCAAGTTTTTACCATACCTGTTCGGAATTTCTATATTTTGATACAGACCAAGATAAGCCATCCAATCTGCAATAACCTTGTCAAATGGAGACAAGAAGCCAATTGGACTGGTTCCATTTACACTGTTCATCCATGATCCAGTTTCAGAATGGAGTCGAGTTGATTATTTTGGCCAAGGCCATCACAGCCTTACTAGGGATCTTCTCGATCATCTTGAAAGATTATATTACGGCCTGCCTTTCCGGCTCTCGGGCCTTCGATGATATCATAGCTTTCCTTTTGGGTTTCCGTTAATGCATCTCGACTCCATGAATGTCATCTTCACCTGAATGTTGATTCAGATGCCCTTCCGGGCCTTCCCGCTCTAGAATATTTGCAACTTCAGCTTTATCTTCGTCAAAGTCCTCCTAATTCGCAGATACTTTTGCATTGCTTCTGATCCCATCTGACTACTTCAGGGGTTTCCTTACGGCTTGGACTTAGTGCTTTACATTGATTTTTATTTTTGTCAATATTATCTATAATTTCTAGAGAAAGAAAGATGTCAGGTAGTTACCAGTAATATGTGGTATGACAGAGCAGGGGTCACAGATATAGTGACGGAATGAAAGTTTAGTTTAGCTTGAAATAAATCTTTGAAACTATATTTCGTTTATTCCAAATATCCGAACCTTACATTCCCGACCATTATCTCATCTCAATTTATGAATTTTACAAATAAGTTTAGCTTCCTCCAATTGTAAATACTCAACAAATCTATCGTATGTTTCAGATTTAGTTTTTCAAATTAATACTATTGATAGATTTGAAAAATCATCTATGAATGTAAGAAAATATCTACCACCATCCATAGCTACAGAAGTAGTAGGTCCACACAAATTCGAATGTACAATTTCAAGAAGTCTAGTACCTACTTTTTGTACGAGAAGTGCCAAAAGAAATTATCGTGATTTTTCCTTTAATACAAGGCTCACGAATCTTTAAATTCTTATCTATCCCTCTAAGCATATCAGTCCTAATAATTCCCTTCAAACCGCTAAAACTAATGGGCATATCTTTTATGTACCATTTTATATATTCATATATAATGCCACAAGAAAAAAAAATTTGTTGGCAAAATTTTCGACTGGTATGAAAGTTTGTTGCTTGGCAATTTCGCGAATGACATTTTCATGAGCGAAATTACCAAAAAGCAACAAACTTGAATAAAACAAAGAGAAAAATTTTGCCTACATAATTTTTTATTGAGTGGTATTCGGCTGGACTATTTCACGAGAAAAACAAGCCAAATTTACATTTGGAAAATTTATTTTCTTTAGGTGACACTTGTCAAACTCAATTAGACATTCCAACGACCTGTCAAAAAGTGCGTTGTGGCAGAAGTTCATTATCCCGTATATGAGAGTATGTAATTTAAAGCTTTTTAAAGTGCATTTTGTGGTTGTTTTGTGACTGAACTCTGTTTATTTTTTTATTTTATTGACTTCACTAGTATAAAGGATAAAGGATATATTAACTAATTTTTATAGAAAATTTGTTAATTTTTGTTGCACTAAAGCGTTTTACACCCCACTAGTGTTTCTTCCAATTAAAAATGCCACAAACGGGTCTTGAAGTTGATTGTGGAAGTAGTTTCAACAAGGTAACAAGGATGATGTCAGGCTTTTTTCATTGCCCTTGTTATAAAATTTTCCAATTGAAACGTGAAAATTTTTCACTACCACTGTTCCTGCATCTGAAATAAAGCTATTTTCGAAATATTCGTAAGAATCGAAGCTTTTTTAGGCCTTCATTTGCTCATTAATGTGAACTGTGGATCAAAATGTCATCTGGACATTTTTTTAAACTAACCTTTCGCCCAGATCCCGATTTTCCTGCATTCAAGTCTTTAAATATTTACTCTGCATCTCAAAAAGTATATTATAACAAAGTAAACTGTAATTAGCTTGAAAATATTCCAAATAAACTCAAGATAAACAAACAAACGTCAAATTTTCCACGGTCGCCATATTGAAAAATCACGTGGTTTGGAGAGCCTAATAGTTTTTTACCTTAACCACACGAAATTTGGTCGCTGAAAAACCATCATGTTGGTTTTGCCCAGGTAGGAACAGGTAGAAGTTTTGTCAGTAGGAAACCGGCCGTTCCTATGATATTTTGCCCGTGTAAAACACTCTAGTGAAATAGTCACTATCATTATTTTCAACATTCAGGCATCCAGGCGAAGCGAGTTCAAATGACATCTCATATAGATTATCCCTATTACCGATCCCTAAAATCTTATTTCTAATATCTAATAATTTAACTTGCTCTTTTTCAAACAACACTTTGATATTTGAAATTCCTAACTTTTGACAGAAAGTAGGTTTTTTTTTTAGCTCAGGAATGTAGAGCACATTTTGAATTGTACATTTTATTCTCTTATTTTCAACATAACTATAAGCTTCAATATTTCCAACTCCCACAGTCAACAAGAAACTTGAATCTTTTGCTGTTACAACTTTTATTGGATTTTCTAACATACATAAATTCGAACAATATTCTTACTTGTTGGCCATGTGATCAGTATAGCCAGAATCAATGTAAAATCGGTGCAAATCCAATAACAACTTGCCAAAACAGTCCAGAATCGCTTGTCACTGCGAAAAGGAACCCGAAAAATGTCCTACAGGTGGAAACAGAATGTTCCTTTTAAATTACTTTGTACACTGAAATGCAACTTTTTTCTTGTAAATACATGAATTATAATAATAATAATTACCTTCAACTTTGTGTATTTTTTTCTTACACTTAAGTCGTAGCCCTAAAAATTTCCGGATATGTACTCCGAATTTATACTCAGAGGCATATTCCGGTTATTACAGTGTTTACTTAAGGGTTTTCTCAATTTATTCCAGCTTCAACAACTGTCTCGAAATTTCATAGTTTATTAAATGTTGCAATATTAAAGAAGATATTTTTAAATCTTGGCATTTATTTAGAATAAACTCTGCTACATTGTCTTTTGTTTGTTTTCTGTTGTCTTACTATATTTTTTGATATTCTTTTAAAGAGCCCAAGGGAAAATTTTATGTTAAGTTTCGCCATTTTGACCCACGTCTGTGTCTTTTAGCCTCTTCGGGGAAAAAATTCATCTTAGAAATTTTAAAATTTTGTATTGAAATTTTTTTTTTTTTTGTTTTTAGCAGAAACCAAGGCGGAGGCAGCTACTTAGGCGACGTCAACGTTTCGGCTATATTGGACTCCTTCAGTGTGAGCTACGACAAGCGTGTAAGACCCAACTACGGAGGTGAGTGCCACGTTTGCAGTCAACGTCGCTTTACGTGTACCACTTTATGACATTAATTTATATTTTATATGGTTTTAAGTTTGGTTTTACTTTTTTTTTTGAAAATTGGTTGTTTTTGTGGAAATATTATTATTGTCATTATAAAGTTCAAACCTTTTTTTATCAATTTATGCCTTACGTGGCAAAGAAATAGAGTGATCACGTGAACAGGAAGTGCAGGAAACAATCCAAAGCCACCATATACTTTATAAATGTTTTTTGAAGTTTTATATTATAAAAGATGCATCTCTCATCTAAACGAGTCTGAATCTCATTTTTATTGTTCCATTTCTTTGCCGATCCGAGTATTTAGATCAGGATGTTAAAAAAATCCTCTGCCATGAACGTTTCGGTTTATTTCAATTCATCTTCCTGACACAGGAAAAGTAACAATTATTATATAAAAATGAACACTTAAACACTTGCAAATAATTTGTCTCATTACGTCGTTGGGATTTAATGATGATGTGAACATTGAAAGGTGTTTTACAGAAATTAAAAATGTATAATTGAAAACAGACAAATTAAAATAATTCGAAGAAAAAACAAGTACCATAACGTAGACAAGGGATTCAGTTTACTAAGCTGTGAATCTGAGTTCAATGTCAATTTGGCTTTCTATATTTTTTTCTGAAATGAATATGTCGTGGCACCTTGTTTCTATACATTTTATTTTCACTTTATTTGATGGTGTAAAATAAGTCGAAAGAAACATTAACTTGGCTTCTAAGCATCTACTAAACTTTTTAATAATCTTGATTTATGAATATTAATGACAATAATAAATAAATCACTCAGACATAATAGCTGCTCACGAAATGCATTCAATCTTAGCTAGGCTTAGCTATTCATCTTTCTTACTCAACTTTGAGAATAATTATTATGAAATAGCTATGTTCGTAAGCAACTAAGTGTATAATAATTAGGTTTTGTTTTTTCAAATACGTCGGGCTCGTATGTGTTAGCAATTCATAAAATTCAAAACTAAATAGCGCCAATGATAGGTCCTTGGAGCATGCATGAGACTTGTTGCTTTAATAAAAATCATATTCAACTAAGTATACATATTGAAGAAAAACATATTCATTCATTATCCTATATACATTTTTTGCTACTGATATTTTTTGATAAATATTATAATATACTATTGGGTGTTTTATAACTTTTTTCAAAGTGATTTAGGAACGAATTACTAAAATGAGAAAAATGGTACGATGAACTTCTTTAATTCATTAAAAAAAAACTTTCGTCCACAACCTATGAGATAGGAGCTTATTATTACATTATATTTACCTAATTTAAGTAATCTAATACAACAAATGATATAGTTTTTTGCATAAAAAGATATTATCATACGCTATATTAACACTGAGAACTTTTCTTTAAAGAGTGATTGCTTTCCTCTTCTTTTAGATGCTGTACTTAATTTGCCTATTTTCTGTTTTGTGTGTTATCATCAGTTCTCAGATGATCTTTTTCAAGTTTGGTAGAATCTCCTGTTACCCGCAAAACCGATTGAAAGGTAAATAATAACTAAATTTGAGGGAGTGACTGAAGTGAGACCGTGAATGGGTAACTAAAACAAAAAGAAAATAGAAAGATAGGGTTGGTCGGTGGCTTAAATCTAGAAACGGGACTTCGGGTTACCGACTAGCTTCCAATGCGGAGAGGGGTGTGGATCAATTAAATAATTATATATAGAGCGCCACCTGCTTTTCCCTGCAGTACACGAAGTCAACCGATATAACGAAAGCAGGAAACTTCTACGGACATATAGCAGCACAACCTGAAATATAAAAGTAAACAAGAAGGAAGGACAAAAGTGAAACGCTTTGCTACAATCAGGTACGGGTTTTTAATTAGAACCAGAACAGGTTTGACTCTAGAGTAGGTTCGGAGTGAGTTTTCCGAACGCCCTGGAACACTGAAAATTATTGACACTAGAACCAGAACAAGAACAAAATAAATCGACTAGGAGTACCTAACCTTATGTTCTAAAAATAATATTTACAATAAATTAACTCAACTTGAGTCCCTAAATAAAAAAATAGGAGTATTGTACTCAGAGATGTAAATCATTAAACAAGCTCACTAAATGCAGTACCTTCGTAAATGGCCATTTAACCTCAGTGTACAAGTGTTTTCCTGTATTCAGTGCAGCATGTATTTATGGGATATTAGAGAACTATAGATCATTAATTAAAGTTGAAGAAACAATACATAGCCTGAGGGGCAAATTCAATATTATGGGATAAAATAGGTAGTATAGATAAATAATTAAAATTGAAGTACCTAACAATACATAACCTGAATGGCAAGTTTCATATGATAAAGGTAATATAGATAATTAATTAAAATTTGAAATAAAAACACATAATCTGAAGGGTAATTTAATATTGTAGTAGAACTGCGTCGTTGTGGTGATTTACTCCAACAAGGGGTTGGTAAGGTTTGATAGGCTCCAGATATTAAGACAATACAACATACTTATCAAACCTGAGTAGTCCCTAAACTCTTGAGGCGAACCTGAAGGATTGGATTGATATCTTCCAGTGTTTCCGGTGGCCTGGGACTGGATCAGGGCCGCAACAAGAAGCAATTGGCCCTGGGCACTGAAGTTTAGTAACCAGGAGTCACTATAGCTTCCAATTGTCTAGAGGAGGCTGAAGATAGGAGGTACGACTTGAAATATACAGTAAGCTTAACGGTTAGCTCTCTACTCAAGTTAAGGACTAAAGCGTGACGAATTTAAGGTGACGTCTAAAGGTAAAGGCCTGAAACAAATCGACTTTATGAGACTGGGCGTGGAGCGATAGGTAGGTATGTCCAATATTCGGAATTCAACCATTTAATTCACAAAAAACTATGCTTTTACATAGAAAATAGAGACACACAGAGAAGACAAATAAGAAAAACCACTTACCAAAATACTTTGGCCTTTAGGAACAAACAATTGATCACTGTTTTTCGGCTCCCCAAGAAATCCGCGCAAGGCGCTTTGGTGCTAAAATAACGGATTAGCCACCCTAGATTTATGAGCGAAAACTGGACAACTCAGAAAATCGGCAAAATGTGCCTGAGGAATTTTCCCGAACACTTAATCGTGGAAAGTCCTCGACCTGAATGACCTCTGCTTGTCCCTGCAATGTTCTTTGAAAAGGTTCTGTCAAAACTCCAAGGTGAAAGGTCCTGGGGAATTTTGATGGTAGTTGAAGCATGGGACTTATTTAAATGAAGTTAGTAACGGTCATTGACCTTATTTGGAGCGCTGTCAATCTAGTCAATCTAATCGGATCAGACAATCACCTGTTCCAATATAAATATTGTGGTGATTTTATTAATAAATTAATTGACTATTTATTTTAACCCTACTAAAAGGAAATTAATTCCATTAATGATTCTGGGAAGAATGAAAAGTTTGATGAAAAGTGTGGCCACAACCATTGGAAAGAAAACAGTGGCTCGACGAAGGTATGCTATTCAGTGAGGCGAATACGCTTATTTCCTTTTATTTTGGCCCAGGAAAAATCATCCCTCAGTCGTCGAAATAAACATGAATTAGAATTCGTCCTTCTATATGCTTAGAGCAATATGCAGCCAGTTCAAGTTCGGGTGAACGTCTTCCATAGCTAGCCTTATCAATTTTGAAGATATCACGTTACCCTGCCTTAAACATTTATTTGTTAATTAGTCTCTTGGAATGTGTTCTGGCAAGATCCATGAATTATGTAGGTCTTCCATTGCAATATATTTTTTCTGATAGATTTTGTTGCTTAATCTACTACATAAAATGTATGGTCAGTGATATCCGTTTGTTGATTTCTTATAATCAACGCATTTTTTCTAATGATGTTTGGGTTTACCCCTATACCAAAGGACTGACAAAATCTGAAGTTTTATAAACTACTTGTTTAATATTGCCCTTATCCACATAGTTATAATAGAGCTCGACTTTTTGATAGGATATGACATCAGGAATTTGTATTTTTTTGTAGATAAATTAGGATCCATATAGGCTTCAAAATTGACAAATCAAATACATCAGAAAACGTTTGTAATCTTCCGCAATCCAACTTTGACTTGAGGGATTTATTGGAATTTCTTCTACTGACATTATTTAGTAGGAATTTCAGGGATTTGGGAAATTTGTATGCATTATTCTCAGTTTCATCAAAGAATCACTACACAGAAGTTCCTTGACAGAATATAAATATTAGATGATGCTTCAGATTTTTCATGGGCTTCATCGCCATACATTTTTTCTAATACATGTAGCTTGGATTGATCTGCTGATTCTAATTTGATGATGGATGTTTCTAAATCTTTTTCAGGTGTTTTCAAGTGATCTAATGAATCTTTGCCAGCAAAATTCATTACTTCTGCCCCAGCGTCAGATGTCACCGTGTAACATAATATTGCATATTGCACTATTGATTTATTGAAGAAATTTTTACTTGTGTTTGTCTTCCATGCCATGTGTTTCTTCATTTTTCTAACACGAATTTCAATTATTCCCGACGCTTTTATATCTGGCCAATAAAAAGCATAGAATAGGTAAGTAGGACAAAGAAAACGGCATAAGAAACTTAGCAGTTAAGAAAAAGACAGAGATAGAGTGGGAATAAATCAAAAAGCGACGCCAACTTGGATTATTCCCGGTGCTTGAGTGGCCAAGAGCTTGAAATAATAAAGAGACAGCACTATAAGAAGCTCAATAATTGAGAAAGAAACAGAAACAAAGTGGGAAAATAAAAAAAAGTAACACGAATTTCAATTATTCCCCGCGCTTGTGTGAGTTTGTATATTATTCTTGTATTTGGCCAATAAAAAGCCTAGAATAGGAAAGTAGGACAAAGAAAACGACATAAGAAACTTAGTGGTTAAGAAAAAGACAGGGATAAATGACGCAATCTTTCATTATTCCCGGCGTTTGACTATTCAGTGGCCAAGAGCTTGGAATA